ATATTTTAGGGTAAGGGTCTTTTTCCAAAATAATTGGGCGTGCTACAGAGTGAAAGTTAGATGTTATCCCTAAAGTGTTGTTATGGGGTCCAAAGCGGTCCCATAAGAGCTGCACAATTTGTTCAAGTCAATTACAACATTCTATTAAAAATGTGTAGGTCATTTCAGGCCATAATCGCAAACTGATGCAGTTCTATTTGTTTATGAAAATTGGCAACACCCTTGAAGAACAGCAGGCCATTGACAATAAAGAGAACAACATTCCCTTGAAGAAATGGTAGCTGTATTCAACAAAGAGCTCTTGAGCTGGTACCTCATCACCCTTAAACTCAAAGAAACCTTAGAATCAGGGATTCCATCTTCTCCTAATTCAGGGAACCGATCAGTAGAGTTTCCCCAGCACCAGGAGGAGGAGGAAAAACTTCAGCAGGAACCTACAAAATCATTGCAAGTCGTCATCAATGAAGATGGGGAAAAATCACAAGAGGAACCAAACTCCCCAGGATCTGAATGGGTGGTGACCATCAAGGAAAAACTAGAGCAGGCAGGTCAAGATGATTTGGCAAGTTCATGGTCCAAACTATCAATCTACAAAATCCCCCATTACCTTAGAGATAGTACCGGTGATGACAAAGCTTTTGCACCGCAGATTGTGTCCATAGGTCCTTACCATCATGGCAAGAAACGCCTTCGCCCAATGGATCGCCATAAATGGCGTTCCCTTAGCCATGTGCTTAAGCGTACCAAGCATGACATAAGGATCTACCTCAATTCCATGAAGGAGATAGAAGAAAGAGCTCGCTCCTGTTATGAAGGACCAATTAGTTTAAGCAGCAATGAGTTCGTGGAAATGCTTGTCCTGGATAGTTGTTTTGTGCTGGAGCTATTCAGAGGAGCCACAGAAGGGTTCAAACAACTTGGATATTCGAGGAATGATCCTGTTTTCGCTATGCGTGGATCAATGCACTCCATTCAGAGGGATATGATCATGCTAGAAAACCAGCTTCCACTCTTTGTACTAGACAGACTTCTGGGAACTCAACTGGGAAACCCGGACATGAAAGGACTAGTTGCAGCTCTAGCACTCAGGTTCTTCGACCCTTTGATGCCAACTGATGAACCATTGACAAAAAGTGACAGAAGCAAATTGGAATCATCACTTGGAAGCAATATTACCTTTGACCCTTTATCTGATCAAGAAGGTCTTCACTGCTTGGAAGTGTTCAGGAGAAGTCTTTTGCGCGCAGGACCTCAACCAGTACCTAGAATATGGATCAAACGCTGGTCAAATGCTCAAAGAGTGGCTGACAAACGGAGGCAGCAACTGATACACTGTGTCACAGAGCTTAAAGAGGCTGGAATCAAGTTCAAGAAGAGGAAAACCGATCGCTTCTGGGATATCAAATTTAAGGATGGTATTCTGCGAATACCCCGGCTATTGATCCATGATGGTACCAAGTCTCTGTTCCTCAATCTCATTGCCTTTGAGCAGTGTCATCTTGATTGCAGCAATGACATTACATCCTATGTTATATTCATGGACAACTTGATTAACTCCCCAGAGGATGTGGGGTACCTTCATTACCGTGGCATAATTGAGCACTGGCTGGGTAGTGATGCTGAAGTTGCAGATCTTTTCAACCGCTTATGCCAAGAGGTGGTGTTTGACATCAACAACAGTTACCTTTCCCCATTGTCTGAGGATGTGAATCGGTATTACAACCATAGATGGAATACTTGGTGTGCAAGCTTGCGACACAATTACTTCAGTAATCCTTGGGCCATTATATCTTTGGTTGCTGCTGTTGTCTTGTTGCTACTTACTCTGGCACAAACCTACTACAGTATATATGGATATTACAGACCAGCCCGGTAAGTACCCCTGTAGGGCTTCCATTGCCTACTATCAACATACTTTTAGTGTTGAACCTTATCAAATCTTGAGATATTCATGTGTTTGCGTTGATTTCAATAATCAAGCTTGGAAAAGAGCTTGGAATTTCATTAATTCATTTATTTGGCACGGAATGTATTGATACTTTGCTAATGCTGTATTACAACTCTCTTTTGTAATGCAAATGCTTGCACAGAAATTTTGGCTTGATCGCCTTAATAAGCTTTCATTTCGTATTCTGACAGAGAATTAAATTGCGAGAAAGAAAACATTCCTCTTAATCTTAGAACTGGAGTAAATTGGTTTTGAACTGTGATGTGTAGAAATTTGAAATATTCTGTAAAAATACACGTGGATGTGAATGATGAGCCTTCGTATTGATTTGAGCTTTGGTTATAAATTCCATAAAATAAAATACTAAACATTTCTCATTTGTAATAAAGCAAAAAGTAAAATAAAAAATACATAGGAATATAATTTCTGTAATAACCAGGGTATGAAAGTGAAGACCCAAAGTATGCCGAGGCTAAAGCCAAATTAGAGCCCCTTCAACATTCAATGTCTTGGAGACTAAAAAGTTGGCATTCTCCTGCATAAAGTACTCGTTTTAACAAAAAATATTTAGGGAATGGAGGTTATCCAGTTATAATGTCAAGGCAGGCTAACACTATCAAAATGTTAGTATTTGACCTTCTACAACATATATCGCAGGAAAGACATGCTTTTTTTTCCGACATTGCAAAATGTTGACTTTGAAATACAATCCAATTAATTTGGAATAAAAATGCATTTGAAAGTGTGTTATTCAACTTGCAATGTGGGATAGAATCAGAGTCCTAGAGTATAAAAAAATACAAGGCGAACTTTAATTAGATATTGAGAAGTGTTACGAAGTAACGTGAGTGTTAATATGTATGTACTAAGGTAACGTACTATTTTTGTTTGCTTCAGTAGAAATGTAAGCCAAACAAAAAGGTAAATTACTATTAGGCCTACGTCAATTTCCAAAAAAGAACACTTTCGAAGGAAAGGTTTGGACCTACACGGAAGTTCGCCATGTTGGAGGACAACTTACACGAGTTTAACCTGTGTTTTTTAAAAGATTTTACCTCCCACATGACCTAAGACTTGGTGCACTGGTGCAATACAAACGTTAATATCATTGATATATTCATAAAACAAATGGAGGGTTGAGATTAAAATCTTAAAGCTCAGTATTGAACATATTTTACCTTTATTATACGAACCCACAACCTGCCTTTAGAAACTAAGCACCATCTCTCTCAATCATACACGCACAAACTCAATTTCTGCAAACAGTATCTCCAATTATAATACCAAACTTCCTTCCACCATTATTATATGGCCTATGTTGAAACTTTAATGAAAAGAAGAAAAAAAAAACACCTCTTCTAGTGTGTTTGCTCAGTGGTTCATTATCATATATTTTTTTCACGCCAAATTGGAATATTATGTTGAAGCTATAATACATTGCTTGATGCAAGTTTTTTTGACTAAGTAACCTAACAACCGTTCTTCTTCCCTGCATAAAGTAATAGAGAACACTTCCTCTCTCCACTTTTGGATTTTTAGATGATTGTTAACAGCATAGGAAACCTCTGGCTCTCTCTACTTTTGGATTTATTAGATGATTTTTAACAGCATAGGAAATATCTAGCATTGCATAATCTCCTTTCCATCTTCACTTCCCAACACTATTCCATCTCTGTTCCATAGAAAATCTTAGACTAAACTAAAGGTTTGGATATGGAACATTACGTTTTTCAGTTTACAATATTGACACATCTTGTTTTTGTGCAAAGAACAATACCAACACATTCAGCCAATCACCAACACCCCTTGGGGCAACTACGGTGGTCGCACTACACAAATAACAATGTTTTCCATGACCATGGCTGTTATGGGGGACTTATGACTTTGAGCTCACTTGGCCTACTGGAATGAGGGAGTTGCAGCTACCATTACAGTTGGTGAGAAAAGTAGGTTTAGTATGAGGACTATAAATGCAATCAATACAAGTAGCCAGTGCACAAAACTGTACTGGTACATAATAATTTTTCAATATTCCTAACGAGATGCACATCAAGATCAATAGGAAACTTTCCCGAACAAATGGTGTAGCAAGAAACCCTTTGTGAAGGAAAGAAGTACCATGACAACCAGACCAAGTGATCCCATTAAAATAAAAAATTAAAATTGTAATTATGCTAATACATTATGAACCCAGTTAAAAAAACTCAACAAAAGTTTTATCCTACTAAATAAGGTTGACCTTATTCCTTTAGATAGAATCAACCACATGAATCACAAAACGCTGTCAAACTCATAGAAACACAATTAAAAAGAGTCATAAGAAAACTTTGTTACTGATTCATAAGACCGGTACTTGGCTATACAAAAAAATACTTGAGCTTGAGGACATTCTGCAATGATAGTGGTTTGACCATGAAGAAACCTTTGTGAAGAGCAACTTTAATATCTCCAGGGAATATCAATCTTACAGCCCAAAAGTGTGGACAGGCTCATTCATAAAATATACATAAAAAGGTTCCACACATTCCAAAAACACATCACGATAATGCCAAGAAAGCCTAAAGGGACTAATTGCATTGCATGGACACATTTATAGAAAAAAATGAGTTCCTGAAAATCACATGATTAGAAGAAAAAAAAATACAATGGAAAAGAGTTAATATCCCATTGCAAATAATGAAGGGGATTCCTTCTGCACAGGCGTCTTAAAATTCTCATTATTTAACTAAGAGTTTGGCATTTGCCTACCTATAAAGAAAAAGAAAATAAAGAAAAGATTCCACTAGAAGGGAGATGTAAAGAGAGAGCCCTCAACATCTCCCAAAACTAAAGCATCTACCAGGGAGTAGAAACATTCAAGATGTCCAAACAGTTGCTCAATTGGGAGTTGAACATCAAGATGTCATACGTCCATGCTAGACCTCAAAGCAATCTCCTCCAGCCACCAAATCCTCAGATTGCTCCAGCAGTTAAAATATACTGTAGATGATATCAAGCCACATGTGGGTTGTGACTTTAGTGTAGCAGATAAAGTTCAATTAAACTGAAAATTTTAGTCCACAGTCGGACTTGTGCTTTCTGCTGGTGCTCTCTTTCCATTATAGCGCTGAAAGTAAAATAGACAAAATTAAAGCATACTATTAGCAACAATGATGTAATCCTGATAAAAACACCATTAATGAATTAATAACCAATATTTGCTTATCACAACAACTTTGAATGGGAAAAAAATATGATGAACCTACTTGTTTCCCAAATGAGAATGGGACATATTTATATTTGATCATGTGTGATATCTGTCTCCTCATTGTAAGTGTGAATAGGACCACCCAGTAAAAAAGGAGAATTGGCCAGAATACTGGAACATCAAAGGCACTAAAGAAAGTCATCACAAATGCAATGCAAAACGCCTTTGTGATTGAGTACCTGTCCACAAAGAAAAAATAAGCAGTTTTCAGTAAAAACAACCATCTGCACAGCAAATCCAAACCGTAAATAACAAGCAAGACATTAAGAACATCACAAATAGAAATTCTAACAAATCACACTATTAAAGCTCGTGAATGAAGATTCATCTCCTCGGAAGCCAAATCCTAGACTAATAACTGAACACAGAAATATAATAAAGCCCAATACAATTGTTATACCATCCTACTCGTCAGGGATAACATGGAAGCCAATATGATCAGCAGAATGTAGCATTTTCAATATCCATAATTCGCTTGAACGAAAATCTAGACTCTTCTCAATACAGTAACGGACAGATCAAGCACATAAAATAAACGAAAATTTTCCTCAACCTTTTCTCATAAACTTGGTCCCTCAAGTCCTCATGTAACTTCTCCATAAGTCCAGGTTATATTCATTGTGTGTGTGATACATGCAATGCAAGAAGTTTAATTAAATTTTTCTTCTTTATTTATTTAATAGGTAAACTCTTAAGCGAACTGACTCGAAGTCCGAAAACCATCATTTGAAATCAAATCTTGGAGGTAGAATAACAAAATAATATTACAATAGAAGTAGGTAGTTGATTACGAAACCCTAGAAGGAAGGGGAGAATCAGGGGAACGAAAGAGTACCAGAACTTGAACTCGGGGAGGCGACGAACGAAGGGGCGGAACTCATCGGATCCTCGGGTGGGGAGGGTGGGGCCGTCGTGAATCTCGGGATCGACCTGAGGGGAGAGGAAACCGATGAGGAGGTTGAGGATGTAAATGCCAAGGGCGTAGGAGACGATGTAGAAGCCTTGAACCAAGTACACGCGGAGGACGTAGACGGCTGCCACCACAAGACACCCGATCCAGCGGCGGAGGACATGCGGCGTCGTTTTGTCAAGCATGTGCTGGTACTGCCGTGAGACCGCAAATTTCCACCGCGATATGGCGGCTTCGGGGGAATGATCGTCGGCTGCTCCTCCGTCCATGGTGTTTGGGGGTAGTTTTGACTTTTGGATTTGTTAGGCGTAGGAGAAATGTGCAAAGTGTGTGTGCGTGTGACGGTAGCAGCAAAAGATACAAAGCAATGCAAATGAGATGCGACGGTAGAAAGTTTCTACTACGCCCTCTTCTCGGTTCGCTTCTCTTTGTCTCTATATCTCCGGTTCACATCTTACTGAACCGGATTAAAGGATTCAAATTCAATGTTACCCAATGCATAAACTCAATTGCATAAAACCATACACCTTTTGACTATATCATAATAATAATAATATTGAATTAATATATTTTACAACCACTTTAACATGAATTTTCTTTCTTTTGAGAATAGATCCTTCAAATAATAATAAAAAAATCTTAATTATGATGATCTTGTTATTAATTCTATACAAATTTTGTTCTACATTCAAATATAATAAGTGAATTCTTAATTGAATTTTAACAAGTGACTTTCTGATAGAGTTTAATTTTTACATATATATATTTTAATAAGTTTTGACATTTATAAAAGTTTAACTAGTGATTTCTTAATGAATGATTATAATTATAGTTTATTTCTTAAACATTTTTTATCCTTACTTTTAAAGGATTAAAATTAAATTATTATTATTATTATTCTTATTTATTCAATGTATTTTAAGCGGTTAATTAATTGTACTTATAGATACTATATTCATGAATTAATTTTAATGTTCTTTTTTCTTATATAATTTATTTTAAATTTTTATAAACTTTATTTTAATAATAATTTTATTTGTATTTTACTTGTTGATAATTTAAAATATTATTATAATTAAATGTCAATTTAATATAATGTTATATATATAGTCTATTAAAAAAACTACATAATAAAAATAATGAAAATAAAAATTTATATTATAAATTATTCATAATATTAAATATATAATAATTTTTTTAAGAAATACATTTTTAAAAAATCATAATTATAATAACAAATAAAATAAATTTACATTTATAAATAAATATTATTTTTATATATACTGATTTTAATATTTTAGAAAATAATTTTTTATAAAAAAATATAAGTTTAATATTTTTAAAATTTTAGATATGAGAAATATTAAAAAAAAATACTTTCAAAATTTTGAACATAAAAATTTAATAATACACACATTGTTTCTCAGAGCAATTCCAAAGGGAATTGTTTATGCCGAGTTGCTTAGGGCATCTCCAAATGAAGTATTTAACTAGAATTACTTACGAATAAAATTAAATATTTTATTATAGGTCTCACAATTGAGTTGTTTAAAACATGGTCAGAGTTGCTTATCTAAGCAACTTATTTCTAATTTTAAACAATTTTTTTCACTATTAAGCAATTCACACATGAGACCCATAATAAAATATTCAATTTTATTCCTAAGCAACTCTTGGTAGCAATTCCCATTAGAGATGCTCTAAAGCAACAGTGCTTACAAGAAACTGCCGTTGGAGCAATCTGACATGGCAACAACACTTTTAAAAAGTTAAACATCGTATCTTGTAGAAGCAACATTGCTAAGAGTTGCTTTTCCCAAATTTTTCATATTTATAATATTTTTTTGTTTATTTTTATTGTCATTGCTTTGTTTAATATTTTTTATTTTAATTAATGTTAATCGTATTTCCAATGTCAATTTTATTTTTAATTTTTTTAATTTAAATATATTTATTTATTTTAATAATTAATTATATATTATAATTATTATTGATGTGGCATAGTGGGTCACATTAAAGTCAAAAGTGGTAGTTGAATTGTGAGGTTCTTATAAGACCTGACAGTTGGAGTGAATTATAAAAATTTGAAGAGAGTTGCTTAAATATGATGTGACACTATAGGTCCCACTTAATAACCCAAGGTGAAAACCCACCATTAAAGATGCTCTTAGATTATTGAAAAAATAAACTAAAAATAAAATCTATAAAATAAATTTTAAAATTATAAAATGAATTATTCATTTATTTATTTATTTTCAAATAACGTTCTCCAACCCATACAAATTAAAACACTCTTATTAATGTTTTACTTTTTTTTAATGATTGTTTACAAATTATTGTTTTTGTAAAAACTATCCCAACATTATATTTTGTTTTTACACATCAAATAGTTTTACTTTTTTAATGTGTTATTATAATATAATATTTTTTATTTTCATTATTTTGTATTATGTAATTTTTTTAATAGAATATATATATATATATATATATATATATATATTTAAAACATTATATTAAATTGACACTTAATTATAATAATTAAATTATTTTAAATTATCAAAAAGTAAAATACAAATAAAATTAAAAAATAAGAGTATTTATAAAATTATTATCAAAACAAAGTTTATAAAAATTTAAAATAAATCATATAAAGTGAGGTAATATTTAAAAGGAAAAATGTGTTGTTAGCTTCTAACACCACACTTCTAAATGAGCTTAAGTAACAACCCATCAACTGCCTTTTATTTATATATATATATATATATATATATATATATATATATATATATATATATATATATATATCATCTTAAAACTAAAACAAAACATAAATATTTATTACTTTTAGTTCTAAACCTAGTTTAGTTAGGGTTATCATTTACAACATTTTCTTTTGTATAAATATATGATTATCATAGTCTGAACAAACATATAAAACACATAAACTAAGTTAATAATTCAATTTAAATATGAGATCAAATAAAATAATTCATCCAAAGTTTTCATATACCATGTATCCATAAAAACTAATATTCATGTCATATAGACACTAAATGATTATCAGGAGATATTAAAAGAGACATTAGGTATTTGTATCTGTCACACCATAACTCCCAAAATGCATAATAGAAGAATGTTCAGTTTAGTATATACACTCACATGGGCAAATTTATAAATACTTATCAAAACAAAAATTTTTCATACCACAAGGTTAAGTGATTAAAAATTTCCTTCAATTCTCACCACTTAATCCTTTCATATATGTGATTCTAATGATAAGTAAGGATTTCTCCTCAAATCTTAAATCAATATATGTACATACAACATTACACATATAAGGATACCCCTTTATTCAATGACAGACCTTGACCCTTGTATTTTGGGGAAGAATCAAATAATATATTATTAATAAATAATAAATAAATATAAAAGGGGTGAAACAAGATGAAATATTCAAAGGATAAAATTATAAATATATAAATAAATATATTAAATGATCATTAAATTTGAATGAGCCAAAATCATAAATTGTATGAGAATTACAAAATTTAAATTCTTTTATTATCATACCACAACACAACATTTTTTTTAATGTTGAGCAGGATTTCAAGCGTTTTCATGAAAATCTTGAATTTGTTAAACAAATTTAAATATGCTAGGCACATTCGTGATAGTTATAGACGGTATGATTTCCTCATTACCTTCTTTCTAATGTGTCAACTCAAATCAAATCTAAACATTATCCTTCAAATTGTAAATCAAATCATTAAATTCAATTCAGTTACAATACATTAATACGAAAAACTATCATTTTTAATCTTATAGAAATAAATTGACATTCACATTCAATATAATCTTCATAAATCAACACATATACAATCACACAATCCAATTTATGAAACTTAATTAATGTGACTAAGTCATATTTACAATCTAGATCTTATAATTTTTCCTTACCTTAAATATAGTGTTTCTAAGTTAAAAAACCTAAAAAATTACTAAATTTGTAAGAAGATTATCTCACACAACATTCAAATTAACAACTTAAGTATATTACGATATTCTTAAACTAGTCAAAAATCATTTTTTTACAACAAAATCTATATACAAACCCCAAAACTCACATGCAAACTTAAACTAAAAATATAAAAAAATAATTTGAAATTTAAAAATAAGAATTTTTTTAAAATTAATACTAAAAATTGATATTGTAAAATTACTTTTTTTTCCTTGAGAAATACTAAGTGTACTTATATCTAAAAAAAATTATAGAAAAATATTCATTTTGTAAAAATAAAGTTTAAATATTTAAAATTTTGTATTTATAATATTTTTTTAGCTTAAACAACTTCTAATTTATTTTCATTGTATCACTCCTATTTTTAACTCATTTAATACAGAATTTTTTTTCTATAAACTAAAATTCAAAAATTTTGAAAAAATTATTATATTATTTAAAATAAATATTTTAAATTTCACTTTTTAAAAATTGTCACACTGTTCTTATTATATTTTGTCTTTATAATGAAAAAAAGGTGTGCCACTCAATTTCAGGTGAGAAATCATTTATTTGATTAAGACAAATACTCGTGACTCATTTGAAATCCAGTATCTTTAACTCTTTTAACATTTTCTTAGCTGATGTTAGCAAGGTTTATTTTAGATATATAAGCTAATACCACCAAAATTATTAGGATAGTGTTATTTTTAATCAACATTATATTGAGTTTTTTTTTCAATATTAAAATTATTTTTAGACGATGTTATTTTTTTTTCTTTTAGATTATTTCTTATATAACATTTATCGTAATTTTTTAACTAGATTTTTTCAAATTAATATTATTAAGGTTATTTTTATTTATAATAAAATTTTATTAATATATTATTCTAATTGACATCTATAGGAAAAAAAGCCTAATCAATAAATAAAATAAAAAAACAATCTTAATTAATATGAATTAAAATAATTATCAATAACATAAATTAAAAACCTTATCTAACGATTTAAAAAAATATTAGAAACTTTTACCAAATAATAATTTCAACTAATAACATTTACAACTTATATTCTAGATTATTAAATATTATTTAACATTAAAACAAATTTTGTATTTAATAATAAAAATAACTTTATCTAAATAATAAAATTAACATTGGATAAAATTAATTTATTTTATTCAACAAAATATTTTAAAAATAATAAATAAATTTAATTTAATATATATTTTTAACGTATTCTTAAATCATAAAAATTTGATTATTTTTACCGAGAAGAAAACTATACTAGAATTTAGATTTATGTCTACCTTTTTTAACTTTTAAATTATATAATATTATATCAAACATAACTTTTTATCTTATTACATGCTTATTCGTAATTAATTAAAAATTAATATGTACATTAATTTAAAATTTATATCTCTATTTATAAATAAAGTATATTATTATTATTAGTATTATTATCATTTTATATAATTATATTTATTATATAAAAATAATAATTCAATTAAATATTTATTACATCATATTTCATCATAATAATACATTAATTAAACAACAATACTATATTAACTATATCTTTTATATAATTATTTTTAAAATTTTATTTTATTATTATTTCTCTTTTAATTTATATCTATATTTATTTTTTCTATTCATTATATATTATATTTATTTTTTATTAATTGTATATATATATATATATATATATATATATATATATATATATATTAGATAAATAGTGTAGATTATTACCTGATTTTATTACATAATTGTTTTGATGATAAAATGGTGCCATGGTGGATTATAAACTAAGCAACAACGGTTTACCTTCACTTCCATAGGGGGGAGCTGTTCATTTCATATCTCCGTTCGATTTCCGATCTCCGATGTGTAATTACTGATGACTCCAATCTAACTGCATTGATCTTATTCCCAAACTTTCAAATCGTGTGTTTCCCCTTCACAAAATCATTGTTCCTGTGACACAGATCGAATAGTGTGCATCACCATCCACTCACGGTAAGCGATCCACTGCTCCTGCCTTTTCCATTTCTTGAATCTATGATGTGAACTCGTATCTGCAATATTTATAAATTAGTATAATTATTGCTTGTCATCAATAGCAAATCTGCTATGCACTGAAACCATTCTCAGATCCCTCTGTTTACATTTCCGACGCTGACTTTTTTCACTGTTTTGGTTCAATTCATGTTCCAATCCAGTTAATTTAAAAGAGAATAATGAAACTAATTAGCTTATGTGAAGTAGATGTTTCACATATAGGTGTTCTTTTGGTATTATGATAGTAATTTTCCCACCATTGTGTGATGTGTATTTATTTAGTTAATTTTTTGTTAGATTTTTAAATGTAAACTGCTCATCACTTATTGGTTTTATACTTTGCAGAACTGCATTTGAGTGACTCATGGAACCAGTTTCAGCTGATTCTTCGTCTCAGCCTACTCCTCCAGTTTCTAATACTGAAGGACACTCAACCAAAGTGTCTGGACAGATTAACAATGCACATGATTCACCATCATCGTTACCTGCTTCTGGAATATCATCATGGGCAAGAAATCTGAAACTCCCAGGCCTTGGCCTTGGACAGGCACAACAGGGTTCACAGACCGAGAACACAGGCATGTCAGCTTTTGCTCGCCTGACTAGTGGGCTTGGGATGCGAACGCAGTCAAATGCAACTGCTGCATCAGTCAATTCCGGACCTGAGCAATCTAATTTGATTGAATCCTTCACCAAAGGGTTGGTGGACTCTTCCAAAAGTGCAGTAAAAGCAGTGCAGGTCAAAGCACGCCATATTGTCTCTCAAAATAAACGTAGATACCAGGTTAGCTAGTTGACAAGGAATTTTCTTACTTGGTGTGTTTTCACCTCTATGACGTCCGTACCGTCATATGTTAAATCTTATGACTGATTTATGTTATCATGTCCAAATCTTGCAGTTGTGTTAACACACGTTCAATGCCTGCATCTGCATAATTTGTTTTTGTCATCTCTCCCTCTTGAAATTGGTGATACAAAGACCGGACCTTCATATTTACATATTTTTCTGTTGATATATTTTGCGTAAGCATTATGTTATTATTTATCTGCATTGGCAGCAGCTTCGGTTAAAATTTATTATATGAATTGGCATTCCACCTGAATGATACTATGAGTGCTGTTGCTAACTGTGCTATTCCCTGTTATCTTGCATTTGTAAAATATCTCACATGTATCAGTTATAACAAATCTTATAGTACCATTATTTCTTTCTGAAGTTATACTGATGGACAAGCCCTGAATCATTCTTAAAAAACATTTAAAAAGAAAAAACAAACTCTTCTATATTGTTTCTTTCTCTTGGCATGCTCCTAATTTGTTAAATTAAAAAAAGAGGATATGATGATCGTTCTGTATTTTGCAAGAAATGTACCTAAATATCAAAACCACGGTAATAAAAAAGCACTAATACCCAAAAATGTTCCTTATCTGCATGGTTCCCATCAAGTTAAATATGCTGGATTTTGATCCCCCATCCCTGTATATTGCTGTGTCTAAGTCAAAGAATTCACACAATGTACCCAAACATTAGGCACGCCCTGTTTTTCAGTGCACATATGTATAAGAAACAAGTTCTGTATAACATCTTATAGGAGGATTTGAAATTATGTACAAACTATAGTTACAAGAAGAGCATGTTATCAAAATGTATTTTAAGTATCTTCCTAGAATCTTGGGGTTTATTACCTCCGATTAAAGAGTTGTTCTATCTTCTAACATTCTTAATAAGAAAAATGTTGATTTTCCCACTATTTGAAAAGCACCATGACAGAAATGGTCACTATCTGGACTTTGTCTATTGAAGAATCAAATTGGTATTGATTGCTTAGTCAATGCATCATACTCTTGTGTGTATGATACTCTCTGATACAAGTTAACATTTTTCTACCAAATTTAATGAATTTTGAAAAGAAACAATACTTTTTTCTTTTCTTTTTGTGAAGACTTGAGTCACCTTCCTTGTTGCTTTCACTTTTTATGTACTTTAATATTTTAGCTCTTATTCTCTGAAACAGGAAGATGGATTTGATTTGGATATGACATACATCACTGAAAATATAATTGCTATGGGATTTCCGGGTGGTGATTTTAGCTCTGGAATTTTTGGATACATTGAGGTATACTTTTAGACAGTCAGTCCTTGTTTCTCATGTTCAAGCCAAGCTCAGTCATCATTCAATTTTGTTTTAAGGGGTAGCTGTGTTGCAGGGGTTCTATCGTAATCACATGGAAGAGGTGATCAGGTTTTTTGAAACACATCATAAGGTAACAGATTATCTATTGCAGTCCTGGGATCCTATTATCTGCTCATCCAGTCTTACTCAGATTTTGGCTGGGAAGTATTGAGATCTATGTGCGGTTTTAGTCGTCTTAGTTTTATTTTATGTCTTTGGGCACTCAAATTGCATTCATTAACAGAATTTTTACAGAGTTGTAATCTATTATTGTATGTTTAGATTTTAGTCCTCTTAGTTTGGTTTCTTGCATTCAGTAATGATATTTTCCTACTTATTCAAATGAATTCCCCACCATAAATTTCATCCATTAATTAACAAAAAGTTTACAGAGGTGTACATAAAGAGGGAAAATTATAAAATAGTGAAATAAAATAATATTTATTTTATTTTATACATTTTTTATATTTAAATATTTTTTACATATTTTTCCTTTGCTAATTTATACGAATTAATGATATGCCACACCTTAATTACATTTTTATTGGATAAATTTTTTTGATGAGTTACTTTGAACTATTAAGTGACCAAGAATGGGGACAAAATATGTAATTAAGCCCAAAATATAAAATACCACTGCTACAGAACTTGGGTTAATGGTACCGTGTACAACACCAATCCGCAGTAGCCCGAACAACCATCCAACATTTAATTATAACTGACAGTGATCTTACTCTTCTACTGCTTGTAAATAGATCTAGAAATTCTGCCAAGCTTCAACTTCCTCGACAACTTTGAGCAATTACTATAAATTTTCTTGTGTCATTAAATGGTTTGCTCCAACAATTAATGTCTCTTAGTATCTTCATGCACTGAGTGTTTATAATTTATCAAATATCTTCTGACAGTTTTATTTTTTGAAACCTTGTGCAGGGTAAATACAAAGTATACAATCTTTGTTCAGAAAGGTTATATGATGGATCATTATTCCACGGGAAGGTGTGATTTTCATCTTTATTTTCACTTTAGTAATCAAATTGATGTACTGACTGGCATTGATGGGTAATAATTTTGACTGTTACGTTTCATTTACCTTTCTAGTCTGCACCTGCTCTTTATATTCAGTGCACTTGTTCAGTATGTTGAACTTAAATTTGAAAATTGGATTCAACTTCCAGGAACTTATGTTGGTAATGTGACTATTATAGAGTTTTCTTTCTTCACCAAAAAATAGTTTGGTATATTTACATGTTTTAAATGACTATGATGGTAAACTCTCTTGCTTCAAAAGACTCTGAAAGAAAGAGAAATATCATTTATCTTCCTTAAATTATCCCATGGGACCTTGTAAAGATAAAAGAACAAGGGAAAAGTTATCCATTTTACAAATAGACATCCTAAACTTTAATTTAGTCTCAATTTGTATTAAATTATTGTATCTTTCTGTTAACGTTTAATATGTATTGAATATTCTATAATTTTATGAAATTATTAAGAAAAGGAAACAAAACCATGAGGGTATGCTAGTCGTCCCTTTGGTTGGACCCCCCTTCCTCTCCTATGCTCAAACTATATATGACTACATTCCGATCAGCCACCTCCTTTTGTTGGGAATGATGGATTAATGGTAAAATAAAACAGGGGTGAAAAAGAAAAATGTTCATGTATTTGTAACTTGTCTAATTCTGGTGGTTGATATTGGGTGACAGTACCTTGCATATTCTCAAGACAAGTATTTCCAATCCTATTGACAACTTCTGCAGCTTTCTTCCACTCAAATGCAGCCAAGAAACTAATAGACTTTATTTTGGGTTCTTAATGCACTTTTTTATGGGTCACTCAATGTCATTTAAGATTTAAGAACTTCATCTATTTTTTCCTCTAATAATAGAAAGACCTGACTTGGGTTCTTAATTCATCTTATGTGGATTCCACTCTTTTCCTTACTGTGGTTAAGGACTAGTTGTTATAGATTCTTGTAGAAGAACTAGTTCTTAGGTTAGATGCACATCTAAGAACCACCATCAGAGATGGCCTAACAATATTTTAGAATGTCTAAAAACATGACATTGGAACATAAAACATTTGGATATAAATATGGAAAAAAAAATTGACTTTTTTGTTGCTGTTTGGTTTTGCAGATGTCAGAAAAAAAAAAAAAAAAGAATTGGACCACAATTTTTTATATCCAATTACTGTAATATTTTTGTTTGTCCTGTTAACGTACTGAAATTGTTTCAGGTTGCCACTTTCCCATTTAATGATCATAATTGCCCTCCTATTCAACTTATAGCATCATTTTGTCAAAGTGCATATTCATGGTTGAAGGAGGATATTCAAAACGTGGTGGTTGTTCATTGTAAAGCTGGTTTGGGGAGGACTGGACTGATGATATGTTGTCTTCTTTTGTTTCTTAAGGCAAGTCATGATATCAGCTTCAAAGACTTTGTAATTTTACTTGTGCTCTGCTTTTCTGAATTTCGCAATTTTTTGACTGTCAATATCATTTTGCAGTTCTTCCCAACTGCAGAGGAAGCCATTGATTACTTTAACCATAAAAGATGTGTAGATGGAAAGGCTCTAGTCCTCCCTAGTCAAATAGTCAGTCATTAATTTTGTTTCATTAGAGATATTCTTCCATTCTGGACATATTCTTCTAAAATCATATTTTTCTGTAATTTTTTAGAGATATGTAAAATACTTTGAACGGACTTTAACTCAATTCAATGGAGAAGTCCAGCCTGGACGAAGGTAAGATGTAATTTTGTCACAATGTACCAGAATTGAAGAAGGTTCCTCTTAATTTGGACTTTGACAGGTGCATACTAAGAGGGTTTCGGCTTCATAAGTGCCCTTATTGGGTTAGACCGTCTATTACAATTTCTGATCATAAGGGTAAGTACCAAAGCTCATTGCTTTCTCTTCATGTCAGTTTAGTAATATTATAGTGTGAGTTTCAACACATATTTTTGAGCAAAACTAAAATCATTGGCACCTTGTTTGGTTGAGAGGATAAGTGAAGATCGGGAAGATGGAAAAAATTTGTGTGTTTGGTGAGAAAGAATGAGACGATAAACAATTTTAGAAAAAAGATAGAATCCATCTTACTATTTCTCACCTATTTCTTCTTATCCCTCTGTCTCTCTCCTCATCTCATCTCTATTTCTCTTCAATCACACACCTATCATTTCAACTTTATTTCTCACCTATTTCCTCTCCCTACCTACTTATTTCCATCTAATCTATTTCTCTCCACTCTACCAAACAAAGTATTAGATTTCAAGTTTTGCATGGAGATAAAAGAAAAAAATGTAATGGTACAATCATAGAAATGAAAAATTGTGTGAAGTCATCTAATGCTAATACTTCATTAAGGGGTAAATGCAAGAGTGGACGTCAAAACGTGACAGCTAAAAATAAGTTCTGAATATTATCTCATCTAAGTATAGCTCAAGAAATTTGAATCATTCATCTGGGGATCTGGTTCAGAACTTCAGATACCTAACACTTTAAGGTTGAAAGTGCCTGTATCTTACTCAATTGAATGTAAACCAAAGTAATTGATGTGTATGTCTCTACCTCTACAAGAGTCTAGTTTGTACAGTACTTTCTCATGCAAATAGTTAAGTTGCTCTTACGACTGACATTTTAATCTTCAAAACCTGATGTTTTAACTTATTCCCAGGAATTCTTTTTGCCACAAGAAAGCATCCCAAAACAAAAGATCTAATGGTACACACTATTTTTTATCCCATCTTTTCTGAGTTTTGCTGATATATGGATTTGAATTTGATTACTGATATACTTTCTAAACTCACTTGCAGCCAGAAGATTTCTGGATCAGTGCACCCAAGAAAGGAATTGTAGTTTTTGCACTACCAGGAGAGCCTGGTCTAGCAGAGTTGGTAGGAGACTTCAAAATTCATTTTAATGATGGACATGGAGATTTCTACTGGTTTGTTCAGAACACCTATTTATTTCTGGCCCCCCTTTATTTTATTCTTTTCACTTGTCAGAATCATTATGATTATATTGTACATTCAGGGTGATTTTGTTGTGTAATTTCTTATCAGTACATGGACCCGGTCTTATCTTTTTCATGTGGGACAGCCTAATGCAATATCACGAAGAATATTTTTATTCCATAGTCCATTATACACTAAAGATTTGTTATCTTCAAACTGTGTATTGTATGAAACAATTTGTTTACACAGATTAGCAGCTTTCTTGATGCTCCACTTTCTTCTTGCCAGTTGGATGAATACAACAATGACAGAAAACCGAAAAATTTTGGATGGTTCAGATTTTGATGGTTTCGACAAGGTAAAATATTCACTTCTTTTCAAGGTACGTTGTTAGTTTATTCTCTGAACCTAACAATAATTTAAACTTTACGATTCACCCTTCAGAGAAAGATCCCCACTCCAGGATTCCGGGTGGAAGTAGTCATGATAGACTATAATGGCACCCTACCTGCAAGAACAAAAGCCAATCCTGCCAGCAAAGGTTCTGATGGAAACACAAGCAATGCCCTACCTGGTCCAAAGCCTACTACCTCTAATTCAAGTGAGAGTAAACTCCCAAGAAATGGAGATGATGATGTATTCTCAGACAGTGATGAAGAGGAGACCCGAGATACACAAAGCAAGAAAGCTGCAACTGAGTACAAACTTATGGCACCTCATCAAGTATCTGAGGGGACAACAGAGCATGTAGGGACATTGACACACACAACGGATCGGTTGTCACTACAGCATGAGGAACGCATGCAAAACAATTCTTCTGAAGAATCTACCGCAGATAAACATCTTAAAGCTCATACAGGCAATGACAGTACAAACGTGGGATCTGTAGGGGCAAGTGACATCAAGGCAATTGCCGCAGATGCTTCAGTTTTTTCCTTCGGGGATGAAGACTTTGAAAGTGATTGAAAGGAGGTGGGATGAACTTCTGATCCATTTATTAAGAAAGTCATTGAAGCATTACTGAATTCATCCGTTTCCCCCAATTTGTTGTCAAATGAACTTTCCTGTATTTTATTATTTAAACCTTGTATATTAAGTTACATGTTTACGTGATTATTTCAACTTTTCTAAGTTATGTGCATTTCTTTCCAAAATGACAACAAATCCAACACCTGTGTGTTTGATAAGAAATAATTATTACATCTTAATAAAACAAGTCTAAAAAAAGTGTTACGTATCTTGTATTATTTATAAATTATTTTCTTCATATTTTTTATGAAAATAGTATCTAGGAAGTGTTTAGACAAAAATAATCTTAGTTGTGTTAAAATGATATATTAAAGAAGATATCTGAACTAAAAAATTATAATTGTAACATGGTTGAGAAAGCATGCCTAACACACTTTTCTACACAGGTATCCATGCTTCATATAAACCAATCTTTAATATCAACTTATATAAAGGGAGATGAAACTTCAAATCAAAGAATATAACCAATACAAATGTTGCACCTAAGTTTTGTTTCTATATAAATTTTGAAAAGTTAGTGGGACTGAATTTAAAAGGCTTGTTTTCTGTACCATGGTTGTTAAAGAAGCATCTTATTCATTCTGTTAAAACTCAAAAGTGGTTCCCATTCCCAAACATATAATTCACTAGCCAACAGGAATCGCAACCAGCAAGTGTATTAAGCGGGAATGAGATTTAAAGCAGTTTTTATAAAAAAAATTTATTATGAACTCTGCAGTTTCTATCAAAACTGCACCTGAGTATTCCGGCATAGTGCACTGTGACAAGCAGAGGAAATAAAACAGACTTTACAAGATAATAAAGTGTTATGATCTACAACAAATAGGAAAGAGACAAAGAGGGTAGTTGATAAATCTAGTTAACAATAGAATCGCTGCTATCAGCTGTTCATAAGAAAACAAAAAATCACATAACCAACACTGCAAAGACAGGCAATCAACATGAACTCATCTCACATATTGGGGAATGCCAACTCGGCAAGAAAATGTTTGCTACTTTCTTACTAACATCATAAAAAACTGCTACTGGAGACATTATCAAAGTTAGACAACCTTCTGAAGGCACACGATACTAAATTTCTACCGGCCAAGAGCCCCAACCTTGCTCGCAACATTGTCAATCGGGTGATATTATTACTTGAAGGAGCCTCTACCTCTGTCTCTCCCTCAGCTTCTGCCTCTGCCACACCATCTTGAGCTCCCCCAACCCCATCACTTCCACTCCCATCCAAAGCTTCGACTTCACTATCATCATAATTAAACGCCAAAGCAACCCTCTGTTCTCGCACCCACTCTACCCCTCTACCAGTAATTTTTCTGCATTTCTTCACTTTAACCTTAACCAAATTGGGACAGCCCGAAGCTAGAGCTCCGATCCCAGCATTGGATATCGGACACCCTTTAATGCAAAGCTTCTTGAGTGCAAGACACTTATCAGCAATACACTCAATCTCCGCATCACCAACGGTTCCAATCCCACAAAGAGCCAACCTCTCCAAGTTCCTGCAATTGCATGCAATCGCCGCCAAGCTCGAAAAAGTAGGGTAAATACCTATCAACACAAGCTCCTGCAAATCAGGACAGTGTTTGGCAATCGCAGCCAACCCATCATCGCCAATCCTATTAGTCCTCCACCCATCGATGTGAACCTTCCTCAACAACTTACACCTCTCAGCAACCATCGAAAGCCCCACATTGGAGCACTCCGCGGTTTTCACAACGTGAAGAGTCTCCAAACCCAAACACCTGGAAACCCCCACAAGTCCCACATCGCTAACTTGAACCTTCTCCAAGTGAATCTCAACCAACCCACCGTTTAAACACCCAGCCCTAACCAGAGTATCATCCCAATCCCCCGTACACCCAATCACCTTCAACGTTCGAAGCTTCTTCGAACCAATCACAAGCGGCGTAAAGCTTTGCCCGTTGACCAGCTCCTTCAGGCAAATAGATTTCAACGAAGCCGCGGCACCAACCTCCACCTCTGTGATATGGTGGACCCCACGGAGCCGCTTCAGCGTTAGATCTTCTAACGTGACGCATCGATCGAGCAGCGCCGAGATTCCCTTTGTACCGAACATGCACGACGCGCACGATAGTTTCTTCAAGACCTTGCAGTTATCGCCTACGCCAGCCATTCCAATTTCCGTTACGTCACGGCATCCCCGCAGCTTCAGGCGCGTGAGGTTCCTGCAGCGCATCGAGATCATAATCAAAGCGTCGTCGTTTAAGCTCGCGTACTTTCGGTCGATCCGTAAAGTCAATTTTGTGACCGAATCGAAGCGGTCAAATATGGGAGGAACGAACTCTTGCAATTCAGGCCGAGCGACAAGCGAGAGGCGGTGCCGCCTCTGGCCGTCTACTTGGCGCCATCGCCGGCAGACCTGGGAGCACTCTTTCCGGTCGGCGGTGCTAAGAAAATGGAAGATCACGGCCAAGCAATCGTCGGTTAGAAGGAGGGTGTGATCGGCATCGAAATCGGGATCGCTGTTTGAATGTAACTGAGAAATTTGGTGGCGGTTGAGGTCCACCGTGGACATGGTGGCGGTGGACGGTGACTGCCCCATTCAGAAAATGTGTAGGAAGCGGCGGAGAGGTATTGAAGGATTTAATAAAAAAGGGCAAGACCTTTAACTTAAGGGAGGAAGCGCGTGTTGTACTCGCGTTTCCACCGCGAAGTGGTTGAGATTTGCGTATGGGTTCATGCATCAGAGTCAGCCCAGGTACACCATAGTGGGCTTGCGTGTCCCTGTCATCTTGGACCTGGCCTTTTCCACTTTGCTTTTTTTATCTCTCCACTTTTTTTAATTTCCTTTCTCAAAAAAAAAAAAATAAAAAAAATATATATATATATATATATATATATATATATATATATATATATATATATATATATATATATATATATATATATATATATATACAGAGAGAAAGAATAAGATAAAATGAGTGTTTAATTAGAAAAGAAAAAACAACAGCACGGTAATTAATTATTTTGTTTTATGTTTCATCCACACGCATATTTCTCTAATTCCATGAGACTTCCTATTCAACATTTTAGGTCAATTTTCTTTTTCCATTCAATCAGCTGACCTTTCAACTTCTACTAGATTTTCCCGTGTTATTTCCGTCTTCTGAAACGTTTGTTTCCAATCTTTGATGATTATTACAATTTTATTTTTCATTACAATTTCTTTGATGATTTTCTTTTTTAAAATAAATAGAAAAAAATTCAAATAAATTTATACACAAACTAATTTATCATATAAATTATCTATCTTTTAATTAAAAATTGTAAAACATAGAAAGAGGAAGGGAAATTAAATAGTAGTATCTAATGTATGTAAACAGTTGTTGGAGTTTATTACAATATGATTGACTCGCATCATCTTCCTCTTTTCCAGAAAACGCGTACATTCTTTTACAACACAACTATTATTTATTTATTTATTTATTTATTTTATTTATTTATTTACAGATCTTTCAAATTTTCAAGTATTTAATGTTGTAATTTGAGTAAAGCGAAAAGATATTCTGAATAGTCTTAAATAGGATGTATTTATTTTCATTACTCCAATATATTATTAAATAGATAATAATAGAAAGGATAAAATTTAAAAAATGTATTAATGAGACATTGTCTAATTTATTCGTTATTTTTAAAATTAAATAAAAATAAACATCTCGGTGTACTTAAAGAGTGGAAGATTTTATTTGCATATTTTACTTTATATACAAGGAGTATATACTTCATTAACTCCATAATTTCTTTCTCTATTCCATGATTAAATTAAACCCTTACACAGTATTTGAAGTGAGAAAATTGAAAAATATTTTTGAGAAATATGTTTTGAAAAGTGTTTTTCGAACTATATTTTTTATTTTCAAAAATATATGTTAGAAGTATGTTTTGAAAATATATTTCAAAATTATTTTCCAAAATATATTTATGGAATTGATTTTTTGAAAATATATTTTGAAATTTTAAAATTAATTTTCTGAAAATGCATTACAGGCTCCTTTTAGAATATATTTTCAAAATTGATTTTCTAGAAATACAGTCTAGAAAGTGCACTCTCTGAAATGTATTTCCAAAAATATATTTCAGAAAATGCATTTTTAAATGCATTAGAATTCATTTTTTTTGAAATGTATTCCAAAATACATTTTTGGAATTGATTTTTTAGATATGTATTTCAAATTCATCTTTCCGTAATTGATTTCCTAAAATGCATCCCACATTCATTTTTTCATAATTGATTTTCATAAATATATCTCATCCTCCATAACGATGATTCGGAACGAGTATTTTGGAATACATTTCTAAGAAAGTATTTTAGATTGATTGTTTCAAAATTCAACTTTATTTTCATGATATTGTTTTTGTGCAATTTAGGTTTGTTTGTGCAATTTGAATGCATGAACATATAATTCATATATAATTTAATGATTACATACCTTTAATTGTTAGAAAAAATTTTTAAATAAAAATGATAATAAAAAAAAATCAAATAACTAAGAGGTAGAAATGCAAAAAAAAAAAATTAGAATAAAAAACAAAATTATAAGAAGGATATTTTAAGTAATTGATTTAGATACAAAGATACATGAAAAAAGATACTGAGAAACACGAACATATACACATTTGTCATATATTTTTCTTTATTTTATAAAAATATATGATTTATTATTTGTATACAAATATATAATTTATTATACAAATAAAATCTCCTTTTAACAAAAATAATAATGAGCCAGAGCACAAGCTAAAACCAATATTGTTATTAAAGTACGCGAATCACAAGTAATTATATCTAGAAATAGTCTTCTTCAAAACCAAGCGAATACCTCCAATAAATACAAAATACAATAAAATTGAAAAAGAAAAAGTTATAGAAGGGACTTTATAAAAAATGTATCACAAACCCTTGATTCGGCAATAATTGGTGGTTTGACTAGTCAGTGTAAAAACTATAATAATAATTGACTTTTAATTCTTAAACAAAATGGAGTTGTGTATTAATTGCTTAATTAGGAATTTAAAATTATAAGAGGATGTTTAATGAAAGTTATTATTAAGAGTTACTTAAAAAATGAATATTTTATTATATGTTTTATTTATGAATTATTTAAAAATAAAAATAATTGTTAAAAATTAAAAAATATATATTTAAATAAGTAATTCTAACTATGTTTTAAGTAACTCAATTGAATAATCTATAATAATAAAATATTTCAATTTTATTCTTAATTAACTAAAAATTTTCTAAAAAATATATATGTGATACTAAGTACATTACAGTTTAACCACACCACAATATATACGAAGGAAACTAGTATTGATTTATTACGTTGAATCAAAGGAAAAAAAAAAGACATGCCTATTTATATTGAGAATATTTTATATTCATTAAAAGTTCTCCTTTAAACTTATAAATAATCATAGAGACTTATGCCATTTTAATTTCTAAATAAAGTATAATAAGGGATATTTTGATTAACTCATTTTATGACAAGATTATACCATTTAGATTCACCTATTACTATTATTACTACTACTACTACTACTACTACTACTACTACATAATAATAATAATAATAATAATAATAATAATAATAATAATAATAATAATGGTCGAATGCATAAACTAATTCTAGAATATATTTTTTCATTTATAAAAATATCTATTATATAGTTAATCATGTAAATTTTAGAAATTAAATTGACTTACCATTACAAAATTACAAATTTTATTTTTATAATATTAACAACAAATTATTCATTATTTATAATTATAATGTGTTATCTTTCTTTCAAGTTCTGTCTCTTTTTTTTTTTTTCTTTTCTACAATCATTATTAATTTATATTATAAAAAATTGTATTATAGATTAATGATATGAGAGAACATTTAATACATTATTCAGATACTCAGTTAAAGGTCCAAGTTAAGAGGGTAAAAAAGTTATATATAATATGTTGATTAATTGAATATATAGTGTGTGAAAAAGTAGGATATTATGTAAAAGGTGGAGATGTTTGTGTCATCCTTGGGCTTGTGGTGTTTCCTTTGAGTGAAGGTTATGATTGAGGATCACACAATTGATGAAGTAAGTTGCGTGGATGGAAAAAGCAAGCGTTCTTGGTGCTGATTATGTCTTCACTTCTTTTAACTGTTGTTGTATATTGCAACATCTTCAAGGAAAGTAATGATGCTCACTTATTCTTCTTTCATTTGCATCACCGACTTTTTAAGCTCCTTAATAGTATCCAGCAAAACCATCCATTTAACATCATCACTTACATTGCCCTCATTTTAATCAACAACATGTCAAAACCCCAAATATATTTGTGTTGTGCTCCAATAATAGAGATTCGTTTATAAGCATAGATTATTACATCGTATGAAATGATTTTGAGGGAACTCACCTCAGAAAAGCCTTGACCTGATATTTGTCCAATTTCTCTGTTTTTTTATTTTTATTTTTCTCTAACCTACTCTTTTATCCAATTAAACACAGTCAGACAAGATTTCATAACAAAAATTGTTGTCCTAGACTAAAACTTTATTAGAGTAATTCTTTTAAAAGAAAATGCACTTACCTTCATATGTAGCAATGCTTAGCAGGTTATGTAATAGTAGCAGCACTACTTTACTTCATGCATGGCAGCATCTAACAACCTATACAAGTGGCAACCTTGTTCATGATAATGTTTAAGAGATTGTTGGTAACTAAGTTTTTTTTTTATTATTATTATTTATTTTTCATTTTACATATATATATATATATATTTTATAATAGGATTAATTTTTTCTTTATTGTTAGAGCTAAATTTTTTTTGTCTTATTAAACTCCAACGTAAAAGACGTAAATTTATGTCAAAATAATTAATTGATACAAATTTATATAAGATTTGACATAAATTTTGTGTCTCTCATTCCTTCTGTATAGGCCAATGCATATCTCATGATCTCAATTATGTGTCTCATGTCCATTTTTTCAACACAAAGAAACTTGTAGCATATATCAATCGTAGATTTTTCAAGTCTAACTCATCTCATATTCTAACAACACACCACACCCCACCAAATCCTCCCCAAACTCGTCACTCTCCACCTTCTCCAAAAATGAAGAACATCACTCAAGTCACAAGGATCTAATAATAAATCAAGGCAGGAGTACATGAAAGATCTAATTAATCCATGAAAATCATGGTAAGAAGAATATTGTGTAGGAATCAATTAGTAATAGGCGATGATTAAATTAAAATGTTTGCATTAGTATTTGAAAATGTATCACTGGATCAAACAAAGGAAAAACTTTATTTGAGAACTTGAAATCATCAGTTACGGTTGATGCAGAAAACTCGTGTTTCTGCACATATTTTTAGCACGCACCACACAAGTGAGTCACCACCACATTCAACGAAAATTCTCTCGATTCTTGCACGAATTTTGAAATTTTCACTGTAACATCGTTGTATTTTAAAGATTATTCCTTTTTTGCCTTTGCATTTTGGGACTGGAGGGTGTGGTGGTGGGGCCTCTTCTATTAGGGACTCCACCATGGAGTATGCCATTTGAGTAAGCATGTTGGAGAAAAGGGAAGAGAGAGGAGAAACTTGCTCTATCCTTATGAATTCCTTGAGGTTTAGAGAGCAACTACAAACCTAATAGTCATACTATATTTTACGTGGGACTATACATATCAAACATAATATTTGACATTTACGTGAGACAATTTTTTACGTTAATTTAAAATTTTACGTCGTGTCCCATATGACATATTACTATTTGTTTTAATTTTAAAAAATTTACCGTATTTTTTATGTTGAATAATTATTAATTTAACGAAAAAAAAATTAACATAAAAATATTGTCAGTATTAATAAAAAAATTATTATATTTCTAATTGATAGAATATGATTTTGTCAATGATATTAAAAAGATATGATTTTATACCTAATATTTAAATTATTAATTTTTTTAATATTATTTAATATGTTTTTAAAATCAATTGATATTCTTTTTTAATGATGTTAATATATATAATGATACTTTTATAAATAAATTAACATATACTATATAAATTAACATATTCTAATACTCATAATATAGTAAATTTATTTATAAAATTATCATATATATATATATATATATATATATATATATATATATATATATATTACATTTATCTTAGTTTACGGTCAATAATATCTTTTACTGACATAAAATCATGTTTTTAATTAATATATTCGTTTTCTTTTCTTTTATGCATAGTTTTAAAAAATTATTACACGATATCAGCATTTATTTTCTTCTGAAAAATAATAATTAAATGTGTTAAACTAAAAAAAATTGATGGAAGAAATTTTTTATATTTTTAATATATACTTATTTAGATATATTTTTTTAGTGGTTTATTTAACATATTTATTACTTTTTTTTTGTTATTATTATGAGTATCACTATTAAAAATAATCATATTTTATGAAAATATTTTTGCAAAATTTTTGTAAAAATTGCAAAAACAAAATATTTTCCTACAAATTTAAACAATTTTTTTTAATTTACAGAAAATAACTAATTTCCTAGTAATATATAGTTATCATTATAACATGATTGTTAATATTGTTATTAATAATTATAATTTATTATTATTATTACTATTATTAATATAATCGTCATCAAGAATGGCCAATTAGATTCTTATTTTCATCAAGTGTTGTTATTATTTATTATTAAAATTATATTATATAGACTTATGTCATTACTTATAATGTTGTTTTATAGGAAAGAGAAAAATAAATATATTACAATTAAAAAATTAATTATTATAATTTATATATTTAAAACTAATAAAAATATGAAAGCAAACAAATATATTTAAATAATAGAAAAAGAAAATAACATAATATTTTAAAAAATAATTATAACAAAATTTGAATGTGCAGACGTCTTAACACATATATTTTCATTAATTATTATTACGACGATTTTTAAAAATAAATAATCAGATTATTACTATTAACATTGTCGCTATACATTGATTATTAATATCTTATGTATTTCATTTTTTTTACTTTATTATAATTATAATTGTGATAAAAATCACTAATCATACTGTATTATTATTATTATTATTATTATTATTATTTTATCTTTTCTTGTGGTTATAATTGTTACTAAAAATTATTAATTAGGATTGTGACCTAAAACAACAATGTTATTTTCATTAAGAATTTTTATTTATTATCACAAAAATTATTAAAATAGTCATTATTATTATTATTATAATTATCATTATAAATTAACAATTATATTATTATTATCATGACTGTTTATCGTTGTTATAATTATGAATGTTATCAAAACTATTAGTAAGATTATTTAAAAAAAATCACATTTTCCATTATCACAAGAGTTATCATTATTGCTAGAACAATGAACATCTGTTCTTTTAATATCTTTCTGTCTTAACTTTTTTTTTTCTCCCTTTTTAGCCTAAATGACATGGTTACCATTCAACAACACTGTTAATAAATTCTAGGTTGAGAGAAAATTTAAAATTAATTATTTGAATATAGAATGAACCCCAACTTTTTTTTAGCATTATTTTTAAAATATTCATATTATAACATAAATCTAGTTATTTATTTATTATTAGTTTTGGTTTTCTCAAACTCTCTGACTCCTAACTCTGACAATTATCTGTGTCAGTAAGAAACGTATGAAATGCAATGTAAACGCCTTTCTCTCCATCAGAAGTTCATAATATAACCAAACAATTTTCTATCTCTTTCTCTTCGTCTATCTCTTCTTCTTCGTCTTCTTTTTCATCTTCTTCTTTCATCACCATGCCTCACCCACCCTCCCCCTCTTTCCTCCTCTGTCATGAACAACACTCCTCCTTCCAGCAACATTCTCCGACACTCCTCAACACCCAATTTTCACCTTCCATTTTTTCCGACAACCACTGCTTCTCCCAACACGACCACCTTCTCTCTCTACTCTCCAAAGAGACCAAAACGCATTTCACTCTCTCCCCTCGCCACGACGTCGTACGCTGGATTTCTACACTTTCCCACTTCCACGGTTTCGCTCCTCTCACCACCGTTCTCGCCGTTAACTACTTCCACAGGTTCGTTACCAGCATAAGCTTTCAGAGTGAAGATAAACCATGGATGACTCAACTAGCAGCCGTTGCTTGCGTCTCTCTCGCGGCCAAAGTGGAGGAGATACGAGTGCCGCTTCTTCTGGACTTGCAAGTACGTTTTCCAACATCGCTGTTTGTTCGCTAATGTTCCATGTTTCTTTATTTCTTGTGTTTAAACGTGGAAAGTGGTTTTTGATTTTGTGTAGTTGGAGGAATCGAAATTCGTGTTTGAAGCGAAGACCATACAGGGAATGGAGCTCCTCGTGTTGTCCACTCTCGAATGGAAAATGAACCCTGTCACCCCAATCTCTTTCTTTCAACACGTTCTCACAAGGCTTGCTTTAAAGCGCCACTTGCTTTGGGAGTTTCAGTATAGGTGCGAACGAGTTCTTCTCTCTGTCATTGTGGGTAAGTAATAATAATGTTGATAAATAGGATAAACGTATGAACACACAGTACATTCATAATAATCTGTGATTAATTAGGTGTGTATTGTAATTTTTATAATTCTTTATTATTTTTCAGATTCAAGGGTTATGAGTTACCTTCCTTCTACATTGGCTGCTGCTATAATGATCCACGTTATTAAAGAGATTGAACCGTTGAATGCTAAGGAGTACCGAAATCAGCTTCTTGGTTTACTCAAAAGTAGTGAGGTATGTCACTTTATATCTTTTATTGTTCAAATCAGCCACAGATTTGAGTGACTAAATGGAAAATTTTGGTGGTTATGTCGCAGGAGCAAGTGAATGAGTGCTACAAACTGATACTGGGACTATTGGTTCGCTGTGAAGGAATTCACAATCTTGCTCAGAGGCGCAAACGTTTGGCTGAGCCAATTAGCCCTGGTGGAGTCATTGATGCATCTTTCAGTTGTGAAAATTCAAATGATTCATGGTCAGTGGCATCACTTTCTTTGGAGCCAGTGTTTAAGAGGAGAAAAGCTCAGGACCAGCAGATGCGGTTGCCTTCAGTGAATCGAGTGTCTATTAATGCTCTAAATACTCCTCGTTAATAACTTAGAATCGTGGTAGGTTTATTAGGAACTGCAAGAAAATATCTGGCAGTAGTTATGTTTTGGAGGAGAACTGCATTATGTTGTTAGTTTTTAGATTAATGGCTGAACATTTGAAATGAACGAGTCAGAGAGACACCATTCCTTCACTTAATTATTCGAGTGGAACAAGGATCTGATACTGAGTAGCAACATTAACTGAATTGTAAGTTTACATGTCCAAGTTCAATTACGCATGATGTTTCCCAATAAACACAGTCAAGGGGTTTCCTTTGTTTCTTTCTTATCTTCCAATCTCTCTCTGTTAGTACAGAACAGGAACTACAAATGGAGGTTTTGGCAAATAAACAAAGATGGGTGGAATAGCGATGCATTTGATGAATAAATGAAATTCTAATACGTGGCCCAACTAGACCCGAAAACAAGTCTTTGTATTCCTCCTGGAGATACTCGTGGTTTCTTCTATGAATATAAATGGGGAGCCCTATTTTCCCTACAACATACCAACTTTACCAATCTATTTATGCTTCCAGTTATCTCAATCTGTTTATATGGAACTTTCCTTTGTCTGAATTAGATATTAAGATCTTCCAGCCTATCCTCAGAATTCAAGCCTTAATTGTATTTCCCTGATCAAGATTTGTTGGCATGGTCAAAATTTATATATGGACAACACTAACCAATGGAATGGATATGTATAATTTGGTTCTATTTGAGTCATCCTAATTTCTGGACATTTGGTTTCAGTTGTTGGTTACTAAACTGATCTTTCAGTTCTAATTCTATTTCATGAATATATAAAAATTCTTTTCTCGTCAATTATTGAAGGAAAATATTACAATTCAAAGTGTATGTATGTTTCAACTTTCAACAGTCGTATAGTCAGATCAAACCTTTTTTTCCTCTTTGACATTAAGTATGAACATGGGACTTTAAGCAATTCAGTGTCTGTGGTTGCAAATTTAATGCAACGTTTGCTGTCACTAACTACCATATTATAATTGACAATGCAAGTCCATATTATGAACACTATGACTGTTGTCTTAGTACATTTTCGTCCGGTAAACTAAAAATTGGGAGTTGAAATTCCACCATACCTGTTTCGGGCACTTATCATTATAAAGTAAAGATGCCAAAATAGAAAATGCATTTTGCTCGGGAACTAAATAATGATGAAGATGGACTCTATAGCTGCTATGGATTTGTACTCAATATAGGTGATAGACGATCGAAAAGTTTTTTGGAAAGATGAATTCTCTTTGAACTATTAGGAGTTTTATCTGACTTTTATGTTTGAAAAGTGATAGGAGCCATGCTCATAATATAGCTATTACACAGAACAAGAGAAAATAGGCACTCAAAAAAAGGCAAAATGATCAGAGTTAAGACCGATCATCATAGGAAGAAATATTTGAAAATGACAAACTTTTGACATTGGGGGAGGGGGCGTGCCTTTGTTATCTCTCTGTCCTGTTTCTTTACCATTTTTCACTGAGTTATGGTCAGCTATGTGTTGCGGTTGCATCATGCCATAGTTATGATGGTTCTTAATCCCCGGTGTAAGATTTTCAAAGTGACAGCTATATCCCCGCCGAATAATAATTCTATGCGAGAGTCTCCTTCAGATTGAAATTTGGTATTGCAAATTCGCAATGCATGCAGTGTTTTGTTTAACCTTTCGAGAAGCATTAGAAAGACCACAAACTTAGGTTGTCTTGACCAATTGGTTTCAACTTAAATTGTTTGGGGGACAGGATTCATAGTTGGCAAAAACAAGAAGATTGTGACATGGTTGAACTCTCTCTCTCTATTTGGGAGCTAGAATAGTATCATAATTTCGTTAGGAAAGTTGTATGGTGTAGCCAGGGACCACGAGTATGACCAAGGGGTGTGCCAAATTAAAAGGGTTCTGATGTACAACCAAGAGACAGAAGATGAGCACAATGTGATATCTGTCCATAGACTAAAGTTGCTACCTAGCAATATAGCATCAAAAGCTAATAACGAGCGAGCATGCTCCTCATGCACGTAATATTAGGTGCGTTGTGATTTTGGTTAAAAGTGCCAAATTTATGTAAGCCAATTTTGTTTGCGCAGTCATAATCTACCTGTTTTAGCTACCATGCTAATATTGGTGCAGATGTTTAGTCTAGCGGCTTAATTATGAGCCTGATAAGTTAAAGGGAAAGGAACACCGCAAGAAAGAAACACTTTTACAGCAACCTATACTTTGTTTATGAACTGAATTATCCAAATCTAGATGGTAATAACCCTGTCACCTTAAAGTTGTTATTACCATTTTCCATATAAATCAATATCTTAAAATAAGAAATAAAGTAAAACCATGATGACATTTTTATAATTATTTTTAAAATAAAATGAAAATTCAAGAGCCAGCACAGCAAGATCTTATTCCTAATTTTAGTCTATGTCATAGAGCTATAATGAAAAAGGTTAAAATTATGTTTGGATAAATAATTTAATTAGAAACTTAGCTAACAAGCTTTTCTCATCAGAGCTTATATTGTAAGTTTCACTACGTAAAATAGACTAAAATGTAATCATTCTCCAAAGCTTTTTTTTCAGGGACCACCAAAAGCTTAAGTTAAACAAGCACGTATCTTGAATGATTTATTACATCTTTAACATGCCCTATCATGCAAGAGCCCCTCTAGCTTTGAAGCATAAATAATGCACATGTCCTTCTATCACGCGCTGATATTAAAGATTTTATTAAAACACGACAATAATTTTATATCATTACTTTTTGTTTATTTGGACATTGTCATAATTTTATGTTTTTGCCTCCTAAATAGAATGGTCTACATTTGCTTCTCTATGCATACATAAACTATGTTGATATTGTTTAATACTACAGTTGGGTGTGTGCATAATACTCCTCAGAACTTATTTACTTAGGTGCCATGTATGATAATTGATATTACAAGTAGTTCAAAGTTCAAATAACAGATAACACTAACTTACGCCTATAATCAAACAAAATATTACACATTTATAATAGAGTCTCAACATTCATGGAAGATCAGAAACCCACTGAGAGCTTGGTTCATCTTGTCTTGTTAGATATGTTACTGGATAACCAATCTAGCCCTTCATAGAGTCCTTGCCCCGACGTGGCACAAGTTGGTTGGATGAACCTTCATGAATAAAAACATTATTAACTCTCACCAAGTTGTCGTGTAGATGATTAAAGTTTTAGATCTATGCCTGAGTTTCCAATAATGAGTCATTGTAATTAAAATGTGTCATACCAGCGACGCAGGCGAAGTGAATGTAAACCAAGTTTATCTGTAATTTCTGCAACTCTTAAAGCATTAGGAAGATCTTGCTTATTGGCAAACACCAGAACAGTAGCATCGCGAAGTTCATCCTGCAATATCATTATCAAGATCATCACATCATTTTCTTTTATGTCGAAAGGAAAAGCTTGCATTATTTTAATTTGGACTGCACAGTGGATAAAAATTTAGCCATGATTCAAAGTGTACTACAGAAACTAAAATTACTGACCTCACTTAGCATTCTATGCAACTCATCTCTGGCTTCCAAAATTCTTTCTCTATCGTTACTATCTACAACAAAGATAAGACCTTGTGTGTTCTGAAAGTAGTGTCTCCACAATGGTCGAATCTACATACATTTTGGCATATAATCGATTAGAGTAGTTTGAGTAACATGTCCTTGGAATGTGAACCCATAAAAATATATTTTAGCAAATAAACCTGTAAACACAGGATTTCAAATGAAGCTTAAACACTTAACAAGCAGACACTGAAAGCTTCATTTCTAATAAATTAAGATGTGTCCAGAAAATCACAACTACCTTGTCCTGACCTCCAACATCCCACACCGTGAAGCTGACATTTTTGTACTCAACAGTCTCCACATTGAAGCCTAATCCATTCAAGATATACATCAAATTTAAACCCTTTCATGTAATTCATATTTAAAAAACTTGTGTGTATATATATAAGGATGTGTGATTGATTCACCTTGCCTCGTACCTTATTTCTGAATGAATATATGTATCCCAGGAACTTCTTATTGTGAGAAACTAAAAAGAGGACTTTCAAATCATATTTTAATTATCAAAATTAAAAGATAATTTTATGATATTTTTTAATAATCGTGCCATTATTAACTAACTTTTAGTAGTTATCATTCGTTAGAGTTCTAATCTGAAGACACATGAGAATATAACTAGTACGAATTCAGAAGATTTAAACAGATGAAGAAAAAGTACTGTGACTAGTTTGAACCTATTGTGGGTATTGTGGTGACGATTTCTCCAAGTTTAAGTTTATAGAGTATTGTTGTTTTCCCAGCTGCATCAAGACCCACCATGAGGATCCTCATTTCTTTCTTCGCATAAAACAATCTCATTAACCGTGACACCGTCAAACCCATTGTTGCCTCTGGTTCAACCAAAATTTAGCTGAAAAAACCTAAAAGTAAACCGTGGGAAAATGAAAAACAAAATCAACATAGAATTCTTTTCATGCCAAAAATTAAAAACAAAAAAAAACAAAAACTCTTAGAAATTTTTTTCTTTCTTTTTCGATTTTTTGCAACTGCGATGAAAGAAGAGTACGAGTCTACCTCAAAAAGATGTACTTTTTTTTAGAAGCAGGGGAAACTTAAAAATTACTCTGTTTCACGTATATTATATAAGCATGTGACCAGAAAACAGCACCAGCATCAATACTGCACTAATAGAAAGTGAGAATAGGATTCTTATGTAGAAATGTGAAAGAATAAAGTAGTGAATGGGCATGCCATTTGAAACCATGACAATAAAAAGCGAATTAGGATTGTCCCTCCTTGCAAGAGTGATTTTGTGACACGAATTTTTCCCATCCATCTGTGAGATTCGGATGGCACAGTTCAGAAGTTACATCAGCGTCAAACCAAAGCAAAGAAGGGTAAGAAGCATCTATTTTCTAAAAACTTGTTTTTATTAATGTGCATTATTTTATGGTGAATTTACTGAAGATGAAAGAGAGAGTTTGACTAATTAATCAGCCATACAGCAGAAAAGTAACAAGAGGAATACTGAATACATCATTGGCACTAGTTTGTCCATGTCTTCGTGCCTAAAGGAAAATTAGCAATAGCACATAAGAATAAAGTTACACATTGCTAAATCTATGTCCTTGCTAAACAAATTGGTCAAGGACATTCCATAATTACATTATTTTTTGGACATGACATTCTGGGCGGATTGTAGAGTGGATGCAACAGCAGCGGCAGCACCAGCAAGTACACCTCCACTGGTGTTGGTTGAATGGGGCTGGTGAATTACCTGCACATTCCTCTCTTCTTGGCCTTGTCCAGCTGAAGATCGATAATCAACAGTTTCCACCTTTTTTTCCATGCAATTTTTTGCATTCACGGTCCCGTTCTGACACAAGAATTCATACAGATTCATTCGTTTATCATTAGAACTGAAAATACAGGAAAAGAAAATGGATCTGGAGTTACTCTAACCTTCTCTTCTTCGTTCATGTTAACCAATTAAATTAAAAAGTATAGATCGCTTCCTCTGAATTGAAGTTAAATTGATGTTTTTAAGAGTCTAGGGAGGTAAATCAAGTTTAGCTATGAATAACTACAACGAAGGCTGAGGAAAAGGACCTCCATAACTACACACCCCACATGACCTCCCATTCTATTATTGGATTAACCAATTTAACAATAACAATTTCGGTTGGGATGTATATGATAATTAAAAAATATTGAAAATGTGTTGTTCCAAAAACCCTATTTATATCATAATTCAACCATCAAATTTTAATTACAGTTCAAGAATTTATTAGAAAATAAAGCTAATCTAAATTATTTATTTTTAAATTATATTTAAGTTTTCTTTATTGATACGAATTTTATTCAAATTTTAAATAGAAGATAAAAAATTTAATCAAAGTAATTATTATATTTAAATATTATATTTTAAAATTAATTAATAACAAATAAACACATACAAATACATCTCTTTAATATCAAAAATACTATAATAAACTCATATTATAATTTTAAATTATAAAGTAATGTTAATTTATTTGTAAAATTAAGAGAACATTAAAATTAAAAATATAATAAGTATTATAAAGAATTCTAATATAACTTTATATAAAACATTGAATAATTATTTTAATAAATATTTATAATTTTTTAATAAAATTATTCACAAATTTTAATAACAAAATTCATGAAAATTTATTCAAACTTATAATATATTGATTTCGTGTGGAATTTGACCAGAATTAAACATGATAATTGATTATTGCAAAAATAACGAAAAATATACTGAAAGATGAAGTTCAGACTTACAAGCCAGAAATTACTTAACTAGGATCACAAACAACAAATTGTTGATGAGAACAGCAAATTCTACTAGGCAAAATATGCCAGGCTATATTTGTCTAGGCTCATATATATATAATTCATAATTTGATATCAGAATTGTACTAGAATCCCTAATCATTATAATATCCCTGCCAATTCATACAGGAAACATAACCAAAACAGCTGAACAAGTTGCTCATTGAATTAACATATCGATACCCTCCTTCCTTAACAAGTCGTAAGGGGTGACCCACTACAGTGAACATCTGAAATATCAGAAAGCCTCTGTCTGGGAGACAAAGTTGCCAGGCCAGCAACATCAAAATCAATATTGGCAATATTCTTTCTCTTGTGAGTTTCTGAACTGCTTTTCTCTTCAGAAACTTCAGCAATGGGACTCAACCCCTCTAATTCCTTATGACCAACAGAAAGCATAGCTTGAGCTTCAGCCACAGCCGTTCCATCATCATCTGTAGCATATAATATCTTCTGAATCGCCCCAACAATCTGAATCATCATAAACAACAATAAAATCACAAATGATTCATTACCTTATAGTAATTCCAGTTATTGGAGTTTCAAACTACAAAAACAGAATACCGGTGAGTGTTCTATCTCTGGAGTCTGGCACATTATCTCAATATCTCTCAGTTTTGCAAAGTAGAAATCCCGTTCTTTCTCAAGGCTATCAATAGACAACTTCAACTCGGTTATCTGCATCAACTTGATCGTTTGAGTAATCTATTTTCATTATTCGATTGATTATTCTTTTGACGTTAAAAGAGACAAACCTTTTCTTCATAGGCAGAGCCACCAGTGCTAGGTGCTCTCACGACCCTGACAGCCTGGCTGATAGGATGATTTGCATTAGAAACCTCGGCTCTTCGAGAATTATGAGAAGACTGAGGTCTCTGCGCAGTAGAACCCTTGGTTGAAGCTTGGGAGTTTGCAGTTTTCTTGCTAGTTTCTCTTCCTCCTTTGCAAACCTCTCTCCTCTCCAGAGCATTATAACTACAAATGTTCAGCATCCAGTATTTTAATTCAAATAATCCTTATGACCAATACCAAAAACATCACACTGAAGAATTCAAAGGTTACAAGAATTTCCTCCTGGTCAAAGTTTGAATTTCAATCTTAAACCCTAATTACCACCAACCAAATCGAACAAGTTTATCTCAGAGACTTTAAAACAAAAAGAAATCTCTAACAAAATATGTGCGCATGAGAATCAAATTAAGATTAGATTACTTGTTCTGTCCCGAAGTGAAAGAATCACAGTATCTTTTCATCCATTGCATGAACTCGAGGTTGTCCAGTGGCCTTCCTTTAACGAGTTTGCTGACCTCGATGTGCTGAGAACACCAAACAAAATCAGCAACTGAATCGAAGATAGTCCGAAATTAAACAAAAATAGAGATAATAATAAAAGAGAAGAGGAGGAGAATGTAACCTTGGTGATTTTGAGTTTGTTGAAGACATCTTGAAGGACCTTGTAGTTCTGAATCATCTCGTACTCGTTCTTGGCGTCGAAATTGACTTTGTGCATCGGCACAATCCCTGGATGAGCCGCATCCAGAAGCTGGCAGTGAACCGCGCCCGAGCATGCCTAAAAGTGTATTGATACAATGATGTAAGAAATCGTGAAGCAAAACCTAAACAAAAAAGGAAAAGAATCGAAAGATAAACCTCTTCGACTTTGGAGAGATTGAGTTGCAGAGTCGAGTTTATCCAAGACAGAATCTCAGATCTACCGACGAAATAAGCCGCATCCATGATTCCAATGTTGGTAGCCATTTCTCTCTCTCTGTTCTTCTTCTCCTTCTAGATTTCTCTGTTGTGTTATCTGATAACGGCTCTTTAACAAATAAACAGGTTGCATATATATATATATGGAGATGGAGCGGGAGGTTTTCAAATTCAAAATCTCCTGATTGCTGATTAAAGTCTGAACATTGTCTTAATAAGGAATAATCCCAACGTTCGGATAAGCCCACATGTGGACCGAACTCTTTTTGGTTGGGCTTTCGTTTCAGTAGTTGGGCTTAGAACAAATTGAATTATACTGGGCTTTAAAGTAACACTAAATTGGGCTTTTGTATGTAAAATTATCAGCAAGAAATAAATAATGTGAGTAACAAACATACTTTGACATAGAGTATAAAATGAATGACAAAGATATAAAAAATAAATTACATGCTTGGACTTCATGAGAATCCCAATCGCTATTACCACTTTTTATAATTTAAATATTTTTCTCTAGAAGGTATGGCCTAATAATGTTAAAAAAAAAACTAGAAATTGTTCTGAAAAAATATTATAAGCAAAAAATATAAATTCTGGCACTAACATAAATATGAAGAGTAAATAAATTATGTGAATTAAAAAACTTGTAAATGAATACATTACAAAAGATAAATTAAAAAGGAATCATCGACGGTAAATGTAAAACCAAAAGCCAAATAAAGTACAATATTTTCCTAAAATAAAATCTATGTTTCACTATCCTTTAATTAATTTATTTGCTCGAGAACGTGATATGGAATAACATTTAGAAAGTTAAATAAATCGTGAACTCTTCAAAGTAACAAAATGATGAGAGAAATCTAATCTCAACAATAGTAAAGAAACCTGTTTTTTTTGTAAGGAAGATGAGTGTGTGAAACATGGCGAGGAATGTAAGAGAAAGAAAGGTGGGGAATGAATATGAAGAAACAAGTTAACAGTTAGTAGTCATTATCAATGAAGAATATTAAAGTGAAGAAGATGTATATACAAAAGAAAGGAGTTCAAGAATCATATTGGAAATGATAGGGTCCCAGAAGAACAAAAGGAGGAGAAATTTTACACCATTACTCATTTGGACAGCTTCTTTATTTGGGTTGTTGTTGGTCTCGCACCAGTTTCTTTCATTTCTCCACAGTTCTCTAAATGGAAGGAAAACTCATACAAGTTTAGTACGCATAATGTTTCTCTAAATGTTTTTATATATGTGATCTTTTTAATATACCTTCTAAGTCATATAATATTTGTTTCAAACAGTCTCATGAAATGTTCTTCTATGCAGTTTGTAGTTTCTTCTATGCACCTTTTACTGCTTCGATATGATGTTTGATTGTATCAATGATAGTTTTTTTTTTTAGGAATATATCATTTTTAATATGCTATAAATGATGGATGGATCTAGAGGTAACAGTTTATTGGGATGTTTGAAACTTGTCGGTGCCCAACTGAATATTCTATAACTACAGAATGTCGATAGGTTGAACATTCAAGGAATCAAAAGGGGTAAAAAAATGGAAACAAAACTTCAAACTCTGTATGTGAGGTTGGATTGAGTTAGTACTTAGTTCATTGATTGCAACTTTGAATGAACTAAATAGGTCGAAATTTAACAACATGGTCTTATTTTAGAAGAGTTTGGATATGGTTGGTTTCCAAAAGAACAGCCATGGTAATCATAATATTCGAACTTAGAATATTGTCCTTTAAACTGTTGTTATGACTATTTTTTTGTTAGTGTATGTGGGTGGTGGTTCTGTTAACAGTTTAAGATAAAACTGAATAATGACCAACTAAGCTCCCAGAATTGAAAGGATTGTGACCCTCCACCAAACCACGCCACCCAAGGCAGGAACATTGGGCTCCACCCTTTGACAAAAAATTCATATTATTGCAGGACCATGATGTCTCAAAGTTCCGCATTCGAAATTTTTTTTTTTTTTAAGTTTTTTTTTTTAAATCTTATATTTAATTTCATAATTGTTGTAAAAATGTTTATTTACATAATATATTTTTTCCATAAAAGTTTAACACTTTTAAATGTTTGAAAATCTTAGTTGTAGCAGTCAATATTTGAGTATTTTCTTTTATGCTACAGGAGAACCTTCCTTTTTTCTTCACACCAACCTGCGTAGACTTTAGCCAGTGTCAATTTTCTCAACTATATTAGGGATAGCATTTAATGCATATTGATACTTTCTAACCCAAATTCTGGGTTGTTGTTAATTTTTTTGGTTTTCGTTGGCCATGCGTCTATAATTAGCTCCACACCCACTAACATGTATGACGTATCAAAAATGATATTTTTATTTGAATATCCACCGTTTTAGTTCCAGTTGTGTATCTTCTATATATTCATGAAGTCCATGTAGTGTAAGAGTTCATGTAATTTAAATATATTTTTCTCTTAAATTTTTTTGAGATCTTTTTTAAATAAAAATTTTAAAGTAAACGATACGTAATTTAAAATTGGACATCCTTAATCGAAATAATATTACGATGGAGCCCATCCTTTTTAGGGTTTTCATCTCTGCATCAGGTTTCAGGTCTCGTTTGAAGATATGTAAGTAAAATAGAAATGAGGGTGGGTTAGTGCTTAGATCCTACACATATGCTTGATTTTAAGAGAAACAAAACAACCTCGTCCTGCAAAAAATAAAATATTAAAAAGAGAAATGACCTTGTTTTGAAAAATAGAATGAATGATGAAGGAAAAAGATCAAGTGGCATTACTAATTGACAAAAGTAAACACTGAATGCTATGTAGTGTCCTTGTACTGTATTATCTATGAAAACTGCATTACATCAATCATAGTAAGGTTTCACTAACGATCAACTTCATATAATAATTTAAAGAACGAGCCTATAGACATAGGTGCTTAATGCTTTTTATTTAAATTTAAATTTTCATCCTATTACACTCCCGTCGTGTTTAAATTAAGATTAAATATCAATACATGTTATCAAGATATTAAGATAAATTTTCATTTTTTAACCAAAAATAATATTATAAATATTTCATTATCTTTCCATTAGTTCAAAATTATAAATTTATTGAACACCAATTCAAACAAAATGTTATTTTATTAATGGTACCGTGACAGTTGGAAATTAAATATCATTTATTTTGTGATTGAAGTTTATCTTCAATTATACAGTAGAAGTTTTATATTAATACAATTATTTACATCATTTAATTTTTATTAATTTTTGTCTACACTTCTATTTTTTTATCATATTATCTATTATATTAATAACTTTTTTCTCTTCGTTTTTTTATATATTTTTCTTTCGATTTGTTTGTTTCCATGAATATATTATTCATCTAAAAAAATGAAATTAATTAAGGAAATATCTATATTGTCCTCTCTTAACCATTTTTTGTTTGTGTTGCATATAACTTTTAACATTATATTTTATAGTTTCCTTTATACCACTACATTCACATAGTTCTCTTTGATTTGTCAGTTCCTACCACGCAAGACATTAATAAACATACATTGAAGTCTCATTTTCACATTTTTCTTTGTCATACGCGTTGAAAGTTATCATGGCTCTATTTATTCTTTAAACAAACCCTTCAATTTTGACAGTTATAAATATAATAATTTTCAAGGTTTAGGCTTCTCGTGCATTCATTGGTATTGTATAAGGAGAATGAATGTGTTATTGTGATCGAGCTTTGCATTGGTGTGTGGGTAATTGATGAATCAAGTGAATGAACCATAACAGCGTTCCATAGGTAACTTCACGATCATTTTTCTCTCCAAATTGCTTATGATTCCGTTGATTTAAGATGTCATATAGCGTTCATCTACATAAGTTGAGATGATGTTCATTTACGGTTGAATTGTTGTTCATAGTTGTCATTGATATAGATAAATGCCAACATAATCGATTATAACGCAGTATCACTACTAGAAAATATACTTTCAACGTCGCTGTTTAACGTCGGTTATATCTTACCCGACGTTAAATATGCTTTCAACGTCGGTTGTTGACCAACCGACGTTGAAAGTCGAATTCTGACACATTCTACGTCGTTTTAGCATGCTCGACGTGGAAAGTAGGATTTCGACGTCGAATATGCCTTTACCCGACGTTGAAAACCCATCTGCATGGGCTTTCAACGTCAGGTGTGGGTATAACCGATGTTGAAACCCCGTTTTCCCAGCATTTTGTATCTCCCCTTACTCTCCAGCATCGCGGCCACTCCCCTTACTCTCCAGCATCGCGGCCTCCCTCACTTTGGACTCTCCGGACGCCCTCCCTCACGTCGCCACCGCGCACCGCGTGACACCCCGCCGCAGCACCTCCACCCCACTGCAGCTTCCACCCCACCGCGACGGTAGGTGCCGCACCGTCCACCGCAGACTCCAGCCGCACCGCAGGCTCAACCTCCACCCTACCACAGCCTCCACCTCCACCCCACCCCACCGTAACCTCTACCCCACCGCGACGCTAGTCGCCCACCCTCCACCCCCACCGCAGCCTCCACCCACATTGCATTGTCCGCTCACCACAGCGTCGACCCTAACGCCGCACTCGCATCCTCCACCTCCACCCCGGTGCAGGCACTGTCTCGTTTCTCGTGGTGCGCATCTTCATCGCTGCCTTAACCCACAGTGTACGATGTTTCCTTACTACATTTCATAGGTAGAGATTCTTAGTCATTTGCCGTTAACTCGTTTATTCAATTCTTAGTCATATTATAGTTTTTTTCAATGTATTGATGATGTATACAATTATACTTGAACTGCTTGAATATGCCCGTGGGGCTTTTTATTGTCAGGTTTCATCGTGTCATTTAAAATTGTTGCCAAAAAACAAAGGAAACTCTGCTGGATTTTTGTTAGAAATTAATCATGAAGTGTGAATTTGAAAACTACATATAACAATGTAGTTATATAAGTGATGATAGTAACAATGAAAACTCTATAATTTCAATTTATACAAATTTGGTTTTGACCAAAAAATAGACGAAATTCCGTTGAAATTTCGTTACAAATTAATCT